AAATAAAAAACATCAACAACACTTTTGAGTGATGAGATCCCTTCTAATACACTTTTTCTTCAATTCTCTTTTTAGCAATCATCTATCATTTATACTACTAATAAAAGTAAACTATCAAGAAAACTTTTGATTGATTACTTTAACCCTAAAACAATATATAAAGACAATACTAGCCCTATTTAATTTAAAACTCATATTAATTAGACTTGATTGCTGTTAAACTTTTAATTAGACAATTTTACTCTCACAATACTAATATTATTAATATGGGATTCATATTAATAAAACTTTATTAATATTACACATTTCCAAGCCTTTCATATCCTTTTAAAAAGACGAAAATTAATTGTTAAAATAATTAAATTTACTTTTATTTATGTCTATCTATTTTCATTAGTTGATGACAAGTTTTTGAATTTTCAAATGAAATTGCATAAATGCACAAGAGTTTTATTTAGTATAATATTTTTTTAATATAATTTGGATAATATTATCAAACCCTAAATTTTCATTTTCTCCTCTTTTATGTTTTAGTTTTAATAAATTCTCCTTAGTTATGTTTATTAGCAATACTAGAAACTATTTTATTTGTATCGATTAGCAATGCTACGAATATATTCAGTCTTACATTAAATTACTTATCACAACTTAACTTTTTAAATTTGTTCAACCAATTGTTTACAATTAAATAACCACCATAACTTAAAATAATTTACTTCTGTATTTTTCATAATTTAATAAGTGTTTCCGATACTTTTTAGTTATATATACCCACATACTATAATATATATTTGTACCATTACTATGATGTTGCAAATAAAATTAATCTAAATAATTAACTTTATGTGAAAAGTTTTAAACTTTAAGCGTAAAGGTTTACAAGAAGGTAATTCATCAAAACTTAAGTGAAAATAAAACAATAAAACCAAATATTTGTTCTACAAATATGTAGTGTTATATCCATTACAAATTGCACAAATTATATAATAAGAATATTCAAAAAGTTATATTTATTAGTAGGTATTTGTTATTATATTTATTTAATTATTTCAAAAATAAAATCATAACTTAAAAAGTCCACGTCTAGTCTATTTAAGTGAGACTTATTGTATGTAAGTGGATCCTTGACACATTAATAGTGAATAATGTTCTAAAAAATGAATTAAAAAATATATCGAAGTGGATATGTATCTCACATTTGATACCACTGCCAAGAATTTATGGGAACACAGACAACAAGGCTTTGCTTCTAATTCATCAATCCTTTAATTAAGAGTGTGTGTGGGAGGGGGGACTTTTATCCCATATGAAAGTATCTCATCCCCGACATTGAATGGATCCTCGGTTTATGGTAACCATGGATTCAGTCTCGACACTAAAATTTATTTTTCAGCATTGTATCTTTATTTTTTATTTAATAAAAATTTAAATTATTTTTATTACTCTATAATTTTTTAATCTTTAGTTATAAATCATTCAAATAATAATTAATAATTAAAATTAATTTTCAACACAATACCTTCATAAGTATAGTGATCTTGTCCAAAAATCAGATATGCTTAAGAATAATCACTACCTTTCAATTAGCAATCCCTAATCATGACCTCAGCACTGTACCAATGCTTATCTCCCTTCTGCCTCCTATTTTAAAACAAAACAACAATGTGTTAACAAGGTATGCAATGGTATTCCTCAAGCAAAGCACACATAAGTATATAAAAGCCAATATTTAATTAGATTTGACTATGATACCCAAAAAAAAAAAATTCAATCTTGTACCATTTACTATTTTTTTAGATATTTTTATTAATTTTTGTGTGGAGTTTACTAACTTTTGGGATATATATAATTTTGGGATTCACCTACCACTTTTTGGGTGAAATTTGTAATTTTTTGGATTTTTTTTTAATTTTTCGATATGGTCCCAAAAAATGAATGGTGATAGTGTAGTGTAGGGGTGTCTATAAGTCGGGTCAGACTAGGCCAAAAAAAAATTTTCTTGGCCAAGCCTGCTTACTAATGTTTTTTATATACAACTTAATTTTAAAATAATGAATATTTTTTTAATTTAATAAATGTGTAAATTATATTTTTAAATCAAAAGTACAGTCAAAATGAATAAAAATAAAATAGCGAATAATTTTATTTTTAATTAGGAGATGAACTACATCCAATATGATGAATACATCCCAACTAGATTGACATATACTCTCTTATCTATTATTTGTATTACTCAATCCTTTAAAATTTGTATACTTAATACATGGAAAAGAAAATAATATATTATTTACAGTATCTAAAGTTTTAAAACTTCAAATTCCAATATTAGGAGACTGATTTCAAAATTTCAAATTTAATGGTATAAAAGTATAACTTTTTTTTAAATGAATGGTGGGCGGGCTGGGCTGGGCTGGGCTGAGCTTGGCGAGCGGGTAGGCGGGCTCTTGGGTCGGGTTTTAATGAATTTTTTTGGGCTAGTTATGAGGCAGGGCTTCGGGCTGTGCAATGGGGTTGGAGGCAAACTCAAGCCCTCTTTTTAAGTATATTGAGCTCAGACTAGGGCGGGCCAACTATTGCGCCAATCGGGTATCTAACCTATTTTTTTTGGGCGGGGTAACCTGACCCATCGGTAACCTAGCCCATAGACACCCCCTAGTGTAGTGTTTACCTTTTTAATTTCATATGTGATTTGCACATAGAAAGCCTTAGACCAACACCACATTGCTCTAATGAGCAAACTAGCTCGTGGGGGTGTCCATCATATTCTATAGGTAGGAACTATAAGATTTGATCTTCCTACCTGATATTTTGCAGTAAAATTTTTTTTTTGTCCTACCCTACCTGATAAGTGTACTATTCCTACCCAAATTTCGTCCAAAACAATCATATAGGAAGTCGGATAGGAAATCAAATGAACACATATTTTTTAGTTATTAATTTTTAGATCATGTTAATAATTTAATTAAATAACATGCACCAATTAACTAACACAAAAAATCAATAATACTGAAAAAAAACACAATAAATTCAATAATATATAAACAATTACAATAAAACATAAGGGTGTTCAAATTTCTGACCGGCCGCAAGTTCCTACCCTACCGACCCTACTAAATGGCTAGCCGCAAAAATCGGGTAGGAATGCGGAAGAGTTTTTGGTCTTCCGACAATTTTCGGATAGGAATGCGGAGTAGTCATCCATTTTCGCATTCCTACCCTACCCTACCCTCAATAATTTTTTAATATATATATATAAAAAGTAAAAAAAAACCCTAAACCCTAGCGGAGCAATTATGATTTTAATGTATTTCATATGGTTTAAAGTTTAAACTTAAATTAATTGTTATTGTATTTGTGTAACAATTATGGTGAATTGATGTTCATACTTTTTTGTGTTTTATTATAATTCTTGTTGTAGTTGTTTTACATTTTAGTGTTAATTGATTTATTATGTTGTTAAATTTGTGCATGTTATTTAATTAAATTGTTAAAATGATCTAAAAATTAATTGTTACAAAAATGTTTACCCGATTAATTGGGTAGGAAGTCGGGTAGGAATACAATACCTGTCGGGTAGGGTAGGCCAAGAAAAAACTCTTCCGCAAAATATCAGGTAGGAAGACGGAAGAGCATATTTTCTACTCGTAGGGTAGGGTGAACACCCCTAATAAAACTTAACAAGAAAGCCATAAATATCGATATATCATATATAAGAAAGTCAAAAACATCAATAAAATATTAGAGTTTCTAGATTTTTGGATTTTAATTTTTAGGGATATCTATATATATATAGGACAGAGTAAGAATACAAAAATTTTGTAGATATTCTAAATTTCTATACGATTTTTTGCGAAATACCAAAAAAACTTCTGTTATCCTATCTCATTCTTTTGGGTAGTAGATCAATAGTCACATAAGGTAGAATATGGTCAGAATTTACGGATAATCATAAATTTGAAACCGTTACTGACTTGGAAACTTAGGTTGTCATTTCTTCAATAATTTTCCACCACGCGAAATTAAATGAGAAGTCAAAAAAAATAATTAATTATTTTTCTCTTCTTAGACCTTAAATAAATTAATATATAGCGTCAAATCCAGATATTTTAATTAATCTCTAGACCAATGCAAACAGATGCCGTGTTAATACAGTCTTTTTTTTGGAAAAGAAAAGCATTATATTAGCATAATGGACCAAGTCCTTGATGTTGTGCAGCAGTATTAGCAAGACGATTCAACCAAATTAACTGCCAGTAACGGATCCAGAAGTTTCAAAGTGAAGAAGTCAAACACAAAATACTAATTTATAATAATACTATTCTTAGGTGCCCAATAAAAATTACAAAAAATTCAGAAGACAAAAAAATAATTAATCTTTGGGAACAAGGAGGACCATTACACCCTAATTACACCCAATTTATGCACGTCTAGCTTACTACAATGAATTATAATTCTCTTCATTATACTTTCACTCAATTTTATTCATTAGTAAATAGTATATCACACATTCAAGTCACATTCATATACGATGGATCATTTACTATTGAGTGAAAGTAGATGGTCCTCACATTCATATACAGTAAATCATTTACTATTGAGTGAAAGAGTTATGAAAAAAATCTGGATTCCAATTTAGGTAACTTTCATGTCATGGGTTTTTTTCTGTAACAATTTGACATGATTCTTACATGGTCTGCTCAGCCTTTTGACAAAGCTCATGTATGAGTCTTGTGATTGTTTCAATGCCCTATGAAGATCTTTGTCCTGCATTGAAATGGTCAAGTTTCTCAATTTCTTCCAAAAAATAATAAATAAATAGAAGCTACCATGCATTGACTAAACTTGTTGGCAAATTCGCAAATTCAAGATAGGACAGTTTCAACTTCCAAGGCCACATATATCTCCTAGGTGTCTGGCGGCTACACCCAAAAAAAGCGAAACCAAGCACTCATCGCTCTCCTTTGAAGAGTGAACAGTCTGTACCACAGGTCTGCACAAACATGGGTAAGAAACTGAATGCTCTGCTCGGAAGACACTCCAAGAAATCAAAGCTCAAAAACCTGGCTAATCTTGCCATCTCAAGGGTTGACAATATGAAGAAACAGCACCATGTTCGGCGTACCCAAGCTCGTTCAGATGTTATACAACTACTCGATCTCGATCACCATGACCATGCTCTCCTTCGTGTAAGTTCTTGCCTGTGTGTGTGTCTCTCTCTCTCTCTGTCACACACACGCACACATATATTCACACAAAAAAAGTATAAATTTGACACTTTTTCACAGGTTGAACATGTGATCAAAGAGCAGAATATGTTTGATGCGTTTGTCATGATAGAGAAGTACTGTTATCTTCTGATGGAGGGAGTTGTGCAACTTGAGAACAGGTTAGTGTGCATGTCTATAGTTCTTGTTCATAGTTTAATAGTTCCATAATCATTGGAACAATTTCTATTTTTTTTTTTTTTATAGTTTATGGTTTGTGAAAATGTAAATCTGTATGCAGGAAAAGTCCTGATCATGAGTTCAAGGAGGTAATACCCACCTTAATCTTTGCGGCTTCACGGTGTGGAGGATTCCCAGAGCTACAACAGATTCGTGAAATTTTCACGTCACGATTTGGGAAAGAATTTGCAGCTTGTGCTGTTGAATTAAAAAACAACTGTGGAGTAAATCCTAAGGTAAGAGTTTGATTTTCATGGATGATGCTAGCCTAACTACTATTTCTCACAAAAAATTCTCACAGCAACTTTGTCTACAGATGATACAGAAGCTTTCCACACGACAAGAAAGCCTGGAAAGCAGACTGAAAATGCTGAAGCAAATTGCTTGGAACCGTGGGATCACCCTCCATCTTGAGGATGACACTCCCGTGATTACAAAGGTAGGCAAAACAACAACAGCAACAACAAAAAAATGACAGCAGCAGCAACAAATGATGATGATGATGAGTTGAACCACCACCACCATCAACAGCATCATTATTTGATGTTGTTGTGGTAGTGACACTACTGATATTGGTAATTAAAACATATCCAAAGTAATGAATTTGGAATGACATCACCATTTGATGATTGCAGGAGAAAGATATCTATCAGAAACATCAGCAGCTTGAATCAATGGAAGATGCAACCTTAAATCCTCGTGAAGTTGGAGTAATTGCCCAAGAAATTTCTGAAGAAATCACAGAGGATGAAAAATTTTCTGACCTGATGAAAGCGATAAAGGAATACAGAGATGTGGCTGCTCCAGCACAATACACTTTTGCATGGGATGAAGATTCAGATGATCATTCCAGTTTTGATCATCAAGAATTCGACTCTTATTTTTCACCAAAATCTGAACTGCATTCCAATAAGGATACTTGCTCAGAGGATTTCAACGACTTCAAGAAGGGATCAGTCTTCGACAAGATCTATCGGATCGAAAGATTCAGCGCGGAATCTGAAAGCAAAGAAATGTAAGAAAACAAGAATAGAAGACTCCATAGGGAGTTGAAACAGAGCAACCTCAAAGCTGGACCAGACACGACTTTAGATGCTTCAGATCAGGATTCAGATGGAGACACTTCGAGTGCAAAGGAAATGCATTCTGATCCACAAAACCATTATGAGCAATCAAGGGAGGAAATAGTTTCTGAAGAAAGTGATGATGAGACAGATCAAAACCAGGACATTAAACCATGGCTGAAGCAGGATGACATGAATTCCCATAACAAACCTGGCTTGCCCATAATCGAATTCCCCAATAACAGACCCTGTAATGCATTTGCAGAGGATACCTTCTCAGATGATAAAGGGCATAGGCATCACTGGCAATCTCCGAAATGGATACCACTGAAGTCCCAAGCTGATGCCATGATATATTCCACGAAAGGAAGATGTGACTTGGAAAATACACGTCAGTTGAATGTTGCACGGCACCCAGATAGAGAGAGGAAGCCAATTTCAGTGAGGACGAAAAGACAAGGGTATCGGCAGTGAAACATATATGAGAGTATCTGAGTATGGGAAAAAAATTTTCAATGGATTCCATTGAGCCAATTTTACGTAGGCCTGCTATTGAGTAAAGTACAAATTTCTGTACTTATTGAGCCAATTTTCTTTTCTTTTTTTTGATTTCTGTACACACAACTCTTGGGGAATAAAGTTTTATTCTTCTTTCAAATGCACTTACACGTTTTACATTCATGACACACAAACAATGTTAAGAACAAGATGGAGTTTCCATGATTTGATCTCAAACCTTATTATGCCATGCATTAAGCCTTCTATTCTGTCAAAGCAGAATGATCATTCTAATGCAGGCAAGTCACTAGCCTAACCAGAGCCAAACTCAAAAACGTTAAGGAAGGTAGAGCGAAAAAGAATAATGCAAATGTGTTCTAATTCTTTAACATAACTGTAATCTGCAAAGCTCAAGTAAAGAGGATAGGGATATATTGGGTAAATCTTTTTCTACTTTGTGTAATTTCGTAGGAAGGAAAAAGTAAAGAAACTAAAATTTTATCTACCCAAGGCTCCTCTTTGTTCCAATGGTAAGCACTTTCTTAATGGAAAAATTCAGGGCTTGGAAGTTTACCAATCCAAAACAAGCTAACTTTAAATTTAACTAATGCATAGCAAGACCATTTTTGAATTACTTCATTTGAGGTACTTCAAAATTTCTATGAAAAGAAACAGAGTGCATAGAGCTATCAAGGAAGTAAGAGAAATGGAGAAGAAAGAGAAAATTCTTTCTCATTCATCAAAAAATGTACATAATACAGAATTCTATGCATCTACATATACTAGTTGATGCACACATGTATCGCACGTGAACTATTTTAAGTCATAGTTTTAATTTTAGAGTATCCAAGACAGTAATTCATATCCAACAAGCATAAAAATCAAAGACGCAATTAGAATTAGGCTTCAGTGAGTTAAATTATGGAATATTGACTCAAAAATTTGAAAGAGATAGATGTGTGCCAATCATTGGGTGAAGGAATGGAGTTTAGGACTTCTTCGGAACAGATCATAACAAATAGGACTTAATTATATAAAGATAACTATGGTACGACTTTTTTCCCTAATAATTATCTTCTATATGCCACATATGTCTATATATCAAACTTGAAAATACTACTCGTATCATATCAAACATATAATCATCTAAAAGACGCGGTTATACATAATTGAAATGATCTAACCAATTGCAGCTATAAAGCATGAGTATCGTGAGGAAAAATATGGTGGCAGGAGACAATTGAGAGATTCTAAATTTGAACCTTGTTTTTTAGTTAGTTTTCTCATGTGTAGCTGCATCTTCGCCATTTTGATCAATCATTGTTTTGTTTTACGTACAAGAAATTCAGGCTAATAAATCTGGTCAATTTCTTACTCTTTTATGCTAGTTTTCTCATGTGATGACTTTAAAAAATTGTAGGATGGCCAAGAGCAGGGGAAATAAATTGGAGAGCAGGACACCATATAGTGATTACAAGTATCAAGTGGTGTGCACTTGCTAGTGGTGAAGAACAATGATAAGGTGAGAAATTGGAATAATCGAAACAATAAAAAAGAACGACCTTAAATTCGTTAATGCAATCTTATTGTAGATTTATCCAAGTGGAAATCATAATGCCCTCATAAGCCAAATATCTAATTTGTCATGTTATGTGAAGGAATAAAATAGAGGATTTAAAATGAACAACCTTTAAAGATGATATATAAGTAAAGTTTTTGGTGCCTTTTTTTTTTACATTTAACAGTTGCGAAAAATAGTCATATAGTGGGTTATAACATGTGATTACGATATAAGGCATGATGGTTTAATGTTTTATCATTACCACAAAATTTTAATCATGGTTTAAAACTCTTATTCCTAGATCGAACTATGGCCTCCAAATCTAACTATGTCGTGCTTAACACGGGTTATTGCTAGTCCAATAATGTCACCTTACAACATCAAAGAAAGGAAAATGTTAAAAGCATCCATTATTTTATGTTTTTTTGGGTTGTTTTTCTCTCTACTACTCTTGATGACAATGGTGACTTGACTTCTTTTTTGGGGGGATTCTTCAACCTCCTATCTGTGTCGAACAACAATTGGAAAAAAAATGTTGATTTTCTCTTGAATTAGATGGAAATCTAATTCAATGTGCTTTGTTCTCTCATGAAAAAATAGGATTTGATGCAATGTGGAGAGCTGATTGGTTGTCAGAATGAAGAATGGAAAGTCCTTCATGAGGAATGGAAAGATCAGAAAGATCATTAAGTAGGTATCTAATCCAAGTGAGTTCACAGCAAGCTGCAGCCATTGAACGATATTGTGCTTTCAGCTGAACTTCTTGAGACTGTGGTATGCTTCTTGGATTTCCATGAAACAAGTGACTGACTAAGAAAAACACAATAACCAATTGTTGAACTTCTAGTATTAGTATATGAAGCCCGGTCAGAATCACAACAGGTTGACACTCGCAGAGATGCATAGGAAGAGAAGAAAAGTCCTTGAGCGAGGGAACTAATGATGTATTTGAGTATTTTGTACACAACATTGAGATGAGTAATGCGAGGTGCTACCATGATTTGACTTAGCAGATGTATTGAATAAGAAATGTCTGGTCTTGTAATGGTCAAATAAAGAAGTCTCCCTATGATTCTTTTGTATAAGGTTAGATCACTAAGAACATCATCCATTGAGAGTTTGAAATTATGATCCATAGTCACTTTCATAGGTGAAGAGAATTGAAAACAAGTTATATGACCTCAACCAAAATCGGTAAGGAGAGGTACAGACTTTCTCTCATTTATACCAGTAATGAACATACAAGAATTAAGGACTAGATTACATCAAAATAAATGATAACATGATAATGAAATTATCTACAACACTTTGTTCTAATCACTAACAGTCACCAATTGGTATGGTCTTCTGTTAATGGTGATCTTCCATCACTTGACACCAAATTTCCAATAGGTAAAGTCCCATCATAACTCCTATGCGAAAATATCTCACTGGATAGTGTCTTGATTCTCAACAGTCCCCTCAAGTTGAGGTGGGAGATGGGTATCACACTCAAATTGCAGGAAAGAGACCAGAAAAACTCTCTAGACAGTGGCTTGGTGAATATGTCAATTAGCTGATCAGCGGAGCGGACAAATTGTGTAATAATTGTTCCTTGAGCAACCTTTTCCTAAACAAAATGATAATCCAACTCAACATGCTTTGTTCGTGCATGAAAAACAGGATTAATGGAAAGATGTAAGGCACCTAGATTATCACAAAACAAAGTAGCAGGCCGAGGTAGTTGTAAACCTAATGCATGAAGAATGTATGTGATCCAAGTAGTTTCGGCAATTGTAACCGTGAGTGCACGATATTTAGCCTCAGTACTTCATCAAGCTACTGTAGGTTGTTTCTTAGCACCCCATGAAATAAGATTTGAACCAAGAAATATTGCATAACCTGTGGTAGAACGACGAGTCAGAGGACAACCTGTCCAATCGGCATCCAAAAAGCATATAGCACAAGAGCTTTTTTTTCTCAACAAATGAAGACCATAATGAGAAGTTGCTTGAACATAACGAAGAATATGTTTGACTAAAGACATATGAGAAAGGGTGGGATTATGCATATATTGACTAACTAAATTTATAGAATAAGTGAGATCAGGACGAGTTAAGGTTAAATATTGAAGTGCTCCCACAAGGCTATGAAAAAGAATGGGATTGGCGAGAGTGTTAGTAGATGCAAGCAGACAGTCTTTGTGGCTAATGGAGTTGTAATTGGCTTGCAAGTATCCATTTTGGCACATGATAAGATATCACGAGCATACTTATGCTGCGAAACAAGGATGCCGTGAAGAGTAGGTGTAACTTAAATGCCAAGTAAGTAACGCAGGTCGCCCAAATATTTTATAGCAAAGTGGTCACTGACTGTTTTAAGAAATATGGGTAATAACCGATGGTTATTACCTATTAGGACTATATCATCCACGTATAAAAGTAAAATGAGAGTGCCTATAGAATTGTGGAGATAAAAAAAAAAAAAAGAAGGATCGGGTTGAGAATAGACAAATCCAAAGGAGATAAGAAATTGACTGAATTTGTCAAACCAAGCAGGAGGGGTTTGTTTCAACCCATATATTGCACGAGAAAGCTTGCAGATATAATTTGGAAATTTTGAATCAATGAATCCTGGGGTTTGATCCATGTATACGGAGTCCTTTAAGGTGCCATGAAGGAATGCATTTTTGACATCCAACAGTTGAATCTTCCAATTTTGGGAAAGTGCTAAAGTGAGAACAATTCTGATTGTTTGGAGCCAAATAATGGGGCTATAAGTGTCACCAAAATCAATGTCTGCAAGTTGATGAAATCTTTTTGCAACAAGGCATGCCTTCAATCAATCAAGTATACCATTGACATGAAGCTTGGTTTTGAAAACCCACTTACACCCAATTACATGTTGAGATTCATGTCTTGTAACTAGAGTCCAAGTATTACTGTGATGAATCGCTTTCAATTCTTCACAAATTGCACCAAGCCATCCTGGAAGAGACATGGTTGCTTTTACTGACCTGGGTTCTCAAGGAATAGTAGCTGAATGAGAAGAGGATGCAACATGGATAAGTCCAGCATGAGTTTTGCCTCGAGTCTGCATTGAATAGGTATTTAGTTGATATTTAGATTATGAATTTGAAGGAGGAGGTGCCCTGAGATCCATATATAAGTTACCAGATTGAAAATCATGAGAAGAAGTAGACTAATTTCCTTGTTTTGTTGATTCCAACTTGTTAGTGGTAGCAGACTGATCAGAATACTCCTCTTGTTCAGTTGTTGCCAGTGTTAATTCTCTTGGTAATTGATTTTCTCTTTGTATGACAGGTTTAATAATGTTAAGAGATGAAGATTAGGGAGAGACAGCGTCAGTATTCTCTGTACTCTGCTGAATGACATTGTTCGTGATTGGCTAGGAATGTGAAACTAAAGAACAAGCA